CCTGTTGGATTTGTAAGTCAGCAGTTCTTTATGTGCTTTTAGGTAAAATATGAAGAAAAGTGGCAATGAGGCTGCAATTCCAGCATAGTGATGTTTTAATTGCATGGTTTTCAGCAGTGAATCATGTAGGCATTTCCTCTTTGCACAGATAACTTCCATTGTTTACCTATGCATGCAGGTGATTAATATTTTGTCATGTATTATCTAGCTATGACAGGCTTTTCCAGTCATGTGGACTCAAAGATAGTGGAACATCTGACTTGTTATCGATTTGTTATAAGTATATTCACACTGTTGTGACTTTCTGACCTGTTTCCTCTGTTGTTCCTATGTACTTGTGTTCTTCTGAATAGGTTCTGTTACAGTGGCTTTAAGTAAAATAATAATAACAGAATAATTCATTCGGTGATGCTTGCTTATATATGTGTTCATTTTTTACAATATTTATTTGCAGATATAAATAATGTGCTCAGGGTTTGTACCCTTTCATTTACTATTTTATTTAGTCTTTTACTTAATGACTTAGTTAATCAAGAAGGTTATTTTCTTGAGTTGCTGTGAATCTTCAAGGATGGCATTTGGGGCCTGTTTGTACTTAACATTCATTTGGAACCTTGTTTTTTATTATTGTTTTTAATCACAGTGGTACTGTTACACACTTACTTGTCATCCTTTCAATTTTTTTAGTTTGGAAATGCTGGACAAAGTAGAGCCACCTATGATTCCTGAAGGCTATGCCATGTCAGTGGCATTTCACTGTTTACTGGATCTTGTCCGTGGTATCACTACCATGATTGAAGGAGAGCTGGGAGAGGCAGAAATAGTCAGTCAAACCACAACAGAGACAACTTCATTACCAGCACAGTCTCCAGAGCAGCAAGACTTGCAGTCTGTATCTGACCAATCAGAGAAGGAACTAGGTATATAAAATACAGCGGTTTAACATAAAGCAGGATTGAAATAGTTCATGCTTTGTTGCTTAAATTTATTGTTTCTAAATCGTATATAAAAACTCTTGATGAAGTGGAGTTTGGGTTTTGGTTTGGTTTTTTTGTAACGGAACAGCAGTAGTCTCTAAAGAAAATACTTGATGTGCTGCTTCTGTCCTATATCACCTTAGCCATAGACTGCTTATGGTGTATTAATACTGCTTTACATGTATGTATGTGGGATGTGAGGGAGAGATAACAGGCATTCTGTTCTCCAGAACTACTTATTCTGCCTTCCTGTGTCCTTAACTCTGCTTAACACTGAGATCCAAGGTCACAAGAGACAACCTGACCGAGAGAAATGTGGCAGTTACAACCACATTAAAAGAAACTTGTATTTCTAGTAACAAGACAAAACTATGTTTTAATGTAGAGGTTTTAAATAAGATGGAAGTGGTTAGGGAAGAACTTCTTTAAAAGCAGAAGTAAGAGGAACTGAGGCTTGTATTTGTGCAACATATGAGGAGTCTGTATATGTACATACAGGAAGCCTTGGCTCCCAAGAGTGATTTTGGCTTGCGTACCAGGAAGCTGAGGCTGCAGTGCTGAAGTTTGTAGTGGGGCACCAACGCTGCAGAAGGGAGGGCAAAGGGGTTTGTCCCGCACACTGCCTGTGGCCTCGGGAGTGCAGAGCTCTCCATGGTGCTGCAGGCAACAGTGCCTGAGCCCAGGGTCATGGCATGGCAGGGGGGAGGGAGGGAGGTGTGGAAACCATGTGGGCCGGTGATAGGTCCGTTAGACCTATATTTTTTCCCCTATTAAATTAAAGAAATGGAAAAAATATGGAGAATTATAAATACCAGGGGAGAGTATTTTTCCATCACTGAAAAATTTCAGTGAGTTTCTTGTCCCACATGTGTGCACTTCTGAATGCTTGTTTTCACAGACAAAGATTAAAAATAGTTATATATACCTTTGTAAGGTTTGTGTGTGTGTGTGTAATTTAGGACAAGTGTTGCCTTGGTGACATTTTTTACTTTAGCAACGTTACTTTAAATGCTGCTGTTTAAATGGTACTGGTGCGAGTGTGTTTCTGTATACACATATATGTGTCTGGGTAAATGTACGTATAAAAACACACTTCAAAAGATGTGGCAGCAAGCATTTTGTTTGTGACATAACTGGAAGTTATTAAGTAAAATACTGTGTTTCTGCTATAAACAAGTGTATGTATTTCTTTCAAGTTAGCAGAGCTGTCTGGGAAGAAATGGTGAATGCTTGTTGGTGTGGTCTTCTGGCTGCTTTATCCCTCCTACTTGATGCAAGGTATTTGGTCTTTCATTTCTCTTGATTTTTTCAAAGATGACATTCCCGTATTTTGAACTGATTTTTGATACTGATCAGGTTGACAGTCATATGAGAGAGCACTGTTCATGGCACCTGAGCAGACAGGTTTGTGGGTTAGTGATGGCTAGACTGAGTGAGGATCTGTTCAGAGTAAACAACACAAAAGTCTCCAGAAGTCTAGCGTCAATCTTTAATGTATTTTAATATAGAACAATTAATTACATTTTCAAAGGCTTGCGTTTAAACTATTTAAATTATTTTTATTCCTTTTTACTTTGAATGTTTCAACACATTGAAGTGATTCTACCCATGTCCTGATTACTGTTGGTAAGAGACTAAATAATGTCTCAGTACTTGTTAGTACTATGCAGTCTTTGAAGTGAAAAAGCTGTTTACTAGGTGATAACTTTGGTAACTTAATTGTCTCTTTGAAAGAGTCTTCCGTTATCAAACACCATTTTGTGAAATTAGAAATATCTCCTCAGAGTCTCCTTTGCCAAGTCATTCAGAACTAAAGACCAAGTTTATAGGAAATGTTTCCGAAGAATTTTGCTGATTGGTTACGCTTGCTCTTCAGAATTTCTAGTGTTGGCAGGTTTAATGTATATGTTCTCATTGCTTTCGGTTTTGGTTAGCTGCCTGCTTCTGTGCTGTGGATTATTTCTTACTAAACAATGTGTACTCTTTCAGCACTGATGAAGCTGCCACTGAAAATATTCTAAAAGCAGAATTGACCATGGCTGCACTTTGTGGAAGACTGGGTCTTGTAACATCAAGAGATGCCTTTATCACTGCCATTTGCAAAGGATCCCTGCCTCCTCACTATGCCCTTACTGTATTAAACAGCACAACTGCAGCTCTGTCCAGCAAATGTAAGTATATAGGTGTTCCTTAATTTTGTTTCCATATTGTCCAATAAACCCAAATTTTCTCAGGATGTGATTGCAAAGATACGGTACTGTAGTATTTGGCTATCCTAAATTATGTTAGAATCCTCAGACAGGATCTAGATCGCCTGCTCTCCAGAACTAGTTAGTCTTGCAGCATCTCCTGGGTATCATTCTAGTCAACCTAAAACTTCTGAATGCTTAGCATATGTCAGAAGTTCATATTCTAAGGAGATCTGTCTATCATACTAAAGATCTGTTAGGATATGTAATTAAGGCATTCCAATACTGAAAAGGTCTCTGGGCAACTCAGATACTTAAGAGTTGTCTAGAAATCCCACATTTGTGGTACTACAGTCTTTTCTACAGTTGTCTAGTGATGGTAGTACTTACTGCGTCAGTGGAAGAACTTAAGTTCTGGGCTCTGTTCAGCTTACAAGAAGTTGAATTAATGCTTCCCACATCCTGAGAGGATGTTTTAATTCATGGGATATGCCAGTTGAGGATGTACTCTGTTCCTAATTTTGAAAATGAATTACTATGTACTGAGAAATGCAACTACCTGGAGAATATGCGGATGGATCTAACATGAGAGCTCTTAATATAAAACAAAAATACCTTAGTCTGGGAACAAGGACCAGCACCTTTACTCCAGCTCACAAGCTAAGTGTATTATTAGATTGTAAGACTGTGAAGCAGTATGCATGACTGAGCTACACTTATCTCAATGAAATGAAGCAGTGAACGTAAGTTACTTTATATAGGTTAGTCTTCTTTTTACAGGTGAGTTATAAAATGGGTGTGCTGAAGACCTGTATTGGAAAAACATCACAACATAGCATTTATGACACCTTCATTTTCTGAGTGTACTAGCACAATGGTAGCACATGGTAATACCATTTACACACAATTACCACAGATAACTGAGTTGAGACATAGTCTAATGCTCGTATCTTAACGCAGATATTTTGGTCTCGACATAAAAAGTGTTAATGTATTGCAAGCAATATCTCATAGTTAGTGAGAGGGAGTAATTACTGGTTCCTTTAACCCTGTTAGGCAATGACATAATAATCTAAATATAACTAAAGGTCTCAAAGTGAGCTACCTTAAAGCTAGTACTGTGAAAAAATTCTCTGGAGTGTGTTTGCCGGTAGGTGGTTGTTACTACAAGTAAGTACTGGATTTTAAATTTAGATTTTTTTTCTTTTCATTTTTCCTTTAGCATATTCCATTCAGGGACAGAATGTTCAAATGATCAGTCCCTCAAGCGAGTCTCATCAGCAAGTTGTAGCAGTAGGGCAACCCTTAGCCCTTCAGCCACAGGGAACAGTAATGGTAAGTACAACTTGTAAGTGATCCCATCCTGCTTAACTGCTCCTTTCTGCATCTCAATGTGTCTCAAAAATAGCCAACAGATAAACAGCATTCTTACAAATAATGGTTATCTGAAATATTATCCTAAGATTTTAATACGGAACAGCGCTGGACAGCAAAGTTCTCTAACTGTAAAGAAGACTTAGTCCTGTTTTTTATCTGACTCTTAGCTCAGCAGCTCCCATCCATTCCATTTGAAAAACCCTAGGTCTCAGCTCTGTTCCGTACCTGTGTGTGAAGGTTCACTTATGTGGTTGGTTTTTTTTTTTTTAAGATAGACTGATTTTGTGGAGAAGCTACATTTAAAGCTGGAGTACGTGAACTTGTGTCTTTGTTAATAATGTGAAACTGGGAGGGGAGAGGGCAGTGATGAAATCATATTCAACCCCAGCAAGATAAGACTGAGAGAAGGAGAGACACTGAACTTCTCTAAAGATACATTGCATCAGTGCAAACAAAATATAATCTTTAAGCTATTTAGTAAAAAATTGCAAGTTTCCTAGAAACACTATTATTGTAGAATAATAAAAATTGTGTGGTTGGTTGTTTTGGTTTTTTTTAGCTGACTTCAAAAAATATCCAGTGTATGAGGACGTTACTCAACTTAGCTCACTGCCACGGAGCCGTTCTTGGTACATCGTGGCAACTTGTCCTGGCTACTCTTCAGGTATAATAGGAAATATTTATGCCTTGCTTTTATGCCTTGCCTTTTTGCCCTAACTTGGTTTTAAGTTTTTATGTGACCAATAGAAGAAGCTTTAATTCTACTCATGGTGTACTTTGAATTGCCTTGAGTAAGTACTGTAGCATTTCCCTTGAATTCTCTTTGGCTGGAGGGCTGCTGGCTAGCTCGAGTACAATGTTAGTTTCCCCTCTGCCTGAAAAGGCTTTTCTGCTGAAAATGATCGGTTTGTATTTCAGCATCTCGTGTGGATTCTGGGACTGAAGCCTGGTGTTGGGGGTGCATTAAAGCCTGGAAGAGCTGTAGAAGGGCCCAGCACAGTAAGCATCATTTTGCAGTTAATGATTATGCAGTATTTTCTATTGCAATCTCTAAGACACATTTCTGTCTCTCTTTAAGGTTCTGACTACAGCAGTTATGACTGATCTGCCAGTTATATCCAACATACTTTCAAGGCTTTTTGAAAGCTCACAGTAAGAAACCTTATCTTATAATTAAAATACTGTGTGTATATCAAACTTGGCAGTGTTTTGATAGCTTTTATTTTTCAGGTACCTTGATGATGTGTCTTTACATCATTTAATAAATGCCCTTTGCTCCTTGTCTCTGGAAGCCATGGATATGGCCTATGGAAACAATAAGGTATAAAATGAGTTCTTTATTTTCTTTTTAGATGTTTTTGTGAAACAGGCAGAAGACTTGCACATTTATCCTTTAAGCTAACTATTTCTAATATTAAGATAGTAATACATTTGATACTCTAGAGTAAAAAATAAATTATGAACCGGAGAATGTGTTGTTTATAATGGTTCATACGGTTACTAAATTCTCTGAACATTCCCCTTTTGTTCCTGTTATGTTTTTTGTTAAGGAATGTTATGTGTTTCCATTAATCAGATTGTGGGTGGATAAAACTTTAAAAGCCCTTGTAATTTCAGAGATTAGGGATTCTGAATAGCACAGTATGTTCTGCAAGGTGCTCATTTTCATTTCCATTTTCTTTTATAATATACTTTAGAAAAAGCCTGACAATTTAGATGTTAAAAAAACCCTGATAATCCATATTTACTTGGGAAAATGATAGTATTCCTGCCAGCCTCAGTAAACAACCTTTAGCCCAGAAATGTTAAAGACCCTGTGACTGAATAAGATTAAGTATATATTCTCCTAGTCATAATCTAATCCCAAGAGGAGAGTTTCTGAAAGTTTTTCCTTGATCTATTACACTAGAGAGGATGATAACAGAAAATATGCTTTATAATATTTGACAATTACAGCAACAGAGAATGAATTAAAATAATCAAGATTTGTGTTTAAAATCAGTTGAAAATGAGAATAAAAATTAGTGGAAATGGGAACAGAGAATAATTCCAGCGCAACAGTCATTTTGACTGTATATTAATTAAAAAAAAAATTAAAAGAAGTTTATCACAAATATTTGCATATGTATTTGATGAATGGGAAATTTATCGTATTCCTGCAGGGCATTTATGAAACTGATAGAAGATAAAGCATAAGGGGATTCTTAAATGAAATATTCTGTATTGTTTGTTCATATATAATTTTAACTTTAAAAGGTGTGATGGGAAAAAGGCTATTTTTCTATAAAAACATGTTATAAAACTGGTTGGAGGGAGGACTATGTAAAAATTGGAGTTTTGAAAGGAATATCAGTGCTCTGTTTGTTGTCAAACTTGGAGAAAACAGTAAGAAAAATTATGAAAGAATTCTTCATGGTATGCTGTTGCTACCCCCTTGTGGCTTCTGATGAAATACTGCAGATGCTGTGGAAACTTCCCATCCGTGCTGCCTAAGCTGTTGTGACCGTATTCACAGCCTATGAAACACAGTACTTCAATGAGATTAGTTGCACCTCAATTTATAAATTATAATGTAGCAAAAGGCTCTGACATTATCTGAGTTACCTCAAAGTCATGTGTTTAAATTCCATTTTATTAAGGAACCATCGCTTTTTGCTGTTGCTAAATTACTGGAAACCGGACTAGTTAACATGCACAGGATTGAGATTCTTTGGAGACCTCTGACCGGTCATCTTCTGGAGGTAGCTAATTGCTTTTATCAATTGTACTAGAACTTAGTTTGTATTAATAAAGATCTTGTGGAAATGTATTTTTAAAGTGTCATTTTTTTAAAAAAAGTCTAAATTGTATTTACATGTTTTGGTTTATGCACTGTTTTTGCAACTTGCATGCATCACAATTTGAATTTAAAAGTGAATTTATATATTTAAATTCCAATATTTTAATATCGCTTGACTTTGTCTTTATGGTGCTGTCAGTCTTTATACATTTTAAACATGGCAGTGTTTAAAATGATCAATTTATTATACTTTATATGTGTGTTATAATTAAGGTAACACAAACAGGTTTCACTTTGGATTCGTGTAGTACAAATATCTAGGAAGCTTTTAAGATATGTTTTTGTGTCCTTACCAGATAGATTGAAGCCATTAAATTTACTAACAAAGGGTTTGTTTCTTTTAAAAATGTTTAAGCTAACATTTTGAATAGTCTCTTTAAGAGAATACTGTACAAATATAAAAATAAGTGTCATAATCCTATTTCAATTTCTTAAGTATTTTAACTTCAACATGAAAAATATGCTCCATCAAGGAAAAACAAACTTTAAAGTTTCAACTTTAATTTGAAACTAAAAAAGGTGACAACCTTATTTGTGGAGATGATCTCCACATAATCTTTTATCTAGGAGAAGAAATTTGGATACTTAAGGTTTGAAAGACTTAAAGCACAGGCATCTCTTTCTCTTGTCTTTTTTTTCCCCTCCAAGACAATAAGGTTCACCATCCACATCTTGAGACTGTGTTTTCATCTAGTAAGCAGTCTGTTTCAGTCTGTTATCCATTGTGGGTATTTGCTGCTGTTTTGTAGGAAACACACAGTCTATCTCAATTTCTTTTAAAGTACTCTTATTTCCTTTTAAACCTAAGTCGTCGAGGTACAGTAAGGAAGGAGAAAACACCAGCTGCAAATTTAGTTAAATACAACCCGAGGGAAGAATTTGTTCCCTGTCTCTGGAACTGATTATCTGGTCAGATTCAGAGCATCATAAAGTAGTTCAAATGCTCTCTTTTTTCATATAAGGTAACAAAAATACAAGTAATTCAGGAGAGTAGCTATTTCTTGTCTGCATTTTTTAACATTAAGCTAGCTCTTCTGCGTTGTCCTCCTTTTCAGTTTGGCTAGTGGCTGATAAGGGAATGGTCCACCGACAAAAGCCATCAGCCTTCCTTATGATCCTGCCCTGGACTTTGATTATGGATTCTCACACCATCCTGCGCTAGGGCTGGAAGGGTGGATGGAGATAATTATGTAGAGGTCAATGAAACTGTAGACTTAGCTTCTTTCTTTGAGGGTAATGTATCAGATATGGGAGTACAGTTCATACCAGGTATCTATGCAATGGATTTGCACAATGTTTTTATTTTTTTCTGTTCTAAAAAAGGCAATTAGCAAAACTATCAGGTTTACATAATTAGGAGACAAAGAAATGAAGACTTATTTGAAACTTAAGCTTGAAATAGTGTTCACTGTTGTTTTGTTAAGTTTTTGAAATAATGGAGTATAAGGCTTATTTTATATTCACTGTGTAGTTACTTTTTGTATTTGAGAATACAGAAGCGCACACACTTTCTGTGTTGGCTACTGTCATGCTTCCTCACTTGATTATGTTAAGCAGTGTGTGAAAGGTGAAACTTTGAGTTTTATAGTAGCTTAAGGCTAAGTTAAACCTGAGAGTTTCAGGCATTCATTGAACAGTTGTTTGGTGCTTTTTAATCAATCATTATCTGAAATAACAGTTAGTATATTCATTTTGGAAAGTGTATTGGCTTGAACGGCTGTGGTTTTCATTATGTTTCCTTCTATGTCTTTCACTGCTTCCTGTTGCTTCCCTATTCAGAAGGTATGTCTGTCCAAAAGACAAAAAATTTTTACTATTAAACCTAATTTTATTATCTAGACATTTATTGTGTTGTTGTAAAAAAAAATTGTAATATTGTATGTAAATTCTAATATAATTAAAATACCAATTTTTTTTTATATATTACATATATTCAAATCTTGGTTAAATAAAAGTGACTTTAAACAAAACATTGCTGTGTTTTCAGGTCTGTCAGCATCCAAACTCCAGAATGAGAGAATGGGGAGCAGAAGCTCTAACTTCTCTCATTAAAGCAGGACTGACATTCAGCCATGATCCTCCATTATCTCAAAATCAGGTAAAGTAAGCTTAAGAGCAGCTGCTTTCCTCCTTTTCTGGAACTTGAAATGAACATGAAATCAAAATCTTCCCTAGAGGAAGCTTTCTACAGTTCAATGAACAGGAGGTATTCATAAAGCAACTTTACTATTGAGTTTATAAAGCCTACAGCTGTAACATTCAGATGTAACTATTGAAAATCACCTCATGCATTCTAATGAACTACACTCATTCCTTTTTCAAATGCATAACAAAGGGTGGTGATGCTTGCATATTACGTCCATTTGTTAGAACAAATTATGGATCACCCTCATGAGTGCAAAACAATTCCAGAATGTTTAGAAATATGTATGTGATGTGGTGGCAGGTAAAAAATATATTGCCTAACCTTCTAAATCACAGCTATTCAATCTGTTATTAATATAACATACTAATATTTTTACTGCAGTTCAGTGGATAGTTTTTTCAAGGTCTCTTTAGTAGGAAGCTGAGTCTAGCCCTGCTGGGTGAGTGTAAAGTTGCATGATGGTTTTTATGCAACTGTGACAGCATGCTGTAGCTGCTTCCTCAGGGACCTGGAGAACAGGTTGGGGGGGCGGGGGGAAGAAAAACAAAGAATGTAGATTTCC